ACTCAGTTGGTTTCAGGGCACTCATCAGAATTGCTAGAAAAATTCTCTAAAAGATTTCTTATATCTTCTGCTATCAACCCGATTGAAGAACTACTCGAACCTTTGAGAATTTCAGCAATAGCAAAAAACTGCATCAGATTCGACTTCAAGTGCATCCCAATCAAAGTCCAGCATCCAACTTAAAGCTTCCCAGATGCCTATCAATTTTGCGGTTAATGATCAGAGGATAAATTCCCTGCCCATGGCCGAGCCCCTCCAACCACGAACATCCTTGTCTCATCTTGTAAACACCAGCCTAAACCACACCTTGAAACATGAACCGCAACATCCACGTTCAGTTTCAGCCACCCCGGAGATGGCTTGCACCAAGCTGCCGCTACCTGCTGCTGGATTCGGTGACCTGCGTTTCTGGTTGCTTGTACTTGAGACCACCTCGAGACCATCAGAGCTTCCTTCCTCATGAATTGTGTTGCAGGTTGAGAAGATCCCTGTCAAACCCGCTGGTTACGCTCAGACCATATTTCCCAGCAGCCCCAAACTAATTTCTCCAGATCAACATTTCTTCTCGAGCCAAATTCCCATTCCAATTGTTCCATAAAATTCCGAGCCCCTCGGTCCATCCACTTCCATGAAACAACCTGCCATACTTCTTTAGCGACCCTACAGGAAGTAAAGGTATGAAACACTGATTCTTCCTTTCCATGACACAGACCACAAACCGTTGGACAGTCCACCCCTCGAGCTTTCAGATTCACCCTAGTCAAAAGACATCCCCTACACGTCTGCCAAAAGAAGTTTTTTATCTTCGGGGTGTAAAGACCAGTTCCAAATGGCTGTCCAACCCAACCAACCTGACGGATTAAAGTCCCCCACCAGCCTCCTATAGCAGCTGTTGACCGAGAAATTACCACTTCTTTCCCATCTCCAACAGATTCTGTCCGGGATATCCCAAAAACTAACCGGAATACTTCTAATTAATGAAATGTCCCTCTCAACAATCAGATCCTTGAGAACATCCTTGTCCCACTCATGCCTCGTGACAGCAAATAGATTAGCCACCGAAGCCTTCTGAAGACCATCAATAATCTCAGATGAAATCCTGGGATTATTTTGGTCGGGTAACCAAGGGTCTTCCCGGATATTAATAGATTTACCGTCTCCGACCCGCCAATAAAATCCATCATGAATGAGGTCCTGAGTTTGAAAAAGACTCCGCCAAATGAATGATGGATTACTACCAAGTTTAGTAGACAAAAAATCCCCCTTCGAAAAGTAACTAACCTTAAAAACCTTCCCAACTAATGAGCTTGGGTTAGTGAAAAGACGCCAAGCTTGCTTAGCTAACATGACCAAATTGAACTCCCATAATCTCTTAAACCCCAATCTCCCTTCCTTTTTCGGTCGACATAATGCAGACCAATCTTTCCACCTGATGCCACTCCCCGACTTCCCTTTCCACCAGAAGCCATTCATCAAAATTTTCAATTTCCTGACATAAATCATTAGGCAATAGAAACACATTCATAGCATAAACCAGCATAGCTTGAATAACAGGTTTTAAAAGAACCTCCCGTCCAGCTTTAGGAAAAAATGAATTATTCCAGCTTTTTATTTTATTCACCACTCTTTGTCTAATGTACCCCAAGATGGCTCTTTTGCCCCTCCCTACCAACGCTGGCAACCCCCAAATATGTCTCCTCATTTTCGGCCATTCCCACTCCCAGTAAATCAATCAAACCCTCTCTAAGTTCAGTTAATACGTTTGGGCTGAAGAATTTTTTTGATTTATTAAAATTGATTACTTGCCCCGATGCTCCTTCATAGTCAGCCAGTGTTTCCTTAATCAAAGCTGCTTCAGAATAGGTAGCTCAAAAAAATAGCAGACTGTCACCCGCAAAAAATAAATGAGAGATTAACGGAGCCCCCCAAGTCACTGAAACCCCGTGCAACCGGGCCATAGATTCATATCTGCGAAAGAAGGCACTAAGACCTTCGGCAACAAGTAAAAATAGATACGAGGAAAGAGGGCTCCCCTGACGCAATCTCCTACCAGGCGGAGGCAAATCAATCTCCGAGTCATCAAATGGGATAGAGTAAGAAACTGAAGAGACACACTCCATTATCAATCGCACCCATCTATCATCAAAACCCATGTGCTTCATCATACCCTCCAGAAAAGATCATTCCATCCGGTCATAGGCTTTGCTCATATCCAGTTTCAGAGCCACAAACCCTGTTTTGCCATACCTCTTTCGTTTCTGAAAATGTTGAGACTCAAAAGCTAACATAATATTATCAATAATATGCCTACCTGGAATGAAAGCACTCTGCTGCTCAGATACACAAAAGTGTAATAAATGTTTTAGTTTATTGGCCAAGAGCTTAGAAATTTTTATATATATGACATTACACAGCGCAATGAGTCTCCAGTCACCAAGAAATTTTGGTTTGTCTTTTTTAGGGATCAGAACAATATTAGTATGATTAATTCTGTCTGGTAATTTTCCTCTCTCAAAAACCCTCTTACAAAAATTAATAATTTCCGGTCCCACAACATCCCAATAGTGTTGATAAAAACCAGGGCTCATACCGTCCGGACCGGGTGATTTATCAGGATACATAGCAAAGAGAGCCTCCTTAACTTCAACCGCACTGATCGGCTGAAGTTGTTCCTGATTGTGTGGTTCTTCAATCTTTCGTTGGACACAACTGAATACAAACTCTCCATTCCCACCCCCTGCCGACAATATTTGGGAAAAATAATCCCCAATCAACCTTCCAATATCGGATCTATCCTACTCCCACCGCCCATCCAATAGTCTGACACCTTCAATTTTATTTTCCCGATGTCTATGCTTAACGGAATTATGAAAGTAACGGGTATTAAGGTCTCCTCCATGCAACCAGAATTCTTTTGCCCGTTGGCGCCAATAAATATTTTCTTTCCCCAAATTCTAAAAATTCGTGCTTGACTCGCTGGAATTCACCTATGCTCCACAAATCTGTAGAGTTGCGCAAATGCTCTAACCTCCTCTTACAAAAATGGATCCGCCAGCCATAATAACCAACCATGCTACACCCCCATGCCCCTACAGCTTTTCCACAAGTCGCAAACTTCCCAACCACCCCGAAGTCCCGGCCGATCCCCCAGCTTCTAGCAACAACTTCACGGTAGTCCGCTTCCCGAAGTCAAACGTTCTCAAACTTGAATTTCCGTCTCCGACGAAAATTATGAGAAGGAAAATTGTGAGAAAGAGGGCCAAATGATCACTAGGAGAACTAACCGTATCATCAACTTCGAGTCATTGGCTTTACCATCTCATCAAATTGCCCTATTTCCGTATCATCAACTTCGAGTCATTGGCTTTACCATCTCATCAAATTGCCCTATTTGAGTCAAACATTCCTTTAATCGAACAGATCAAAATTTCCACAAACTGAACAGATATTTTTATGATTTCAAGGCTGGAGACATTTGTATAGCCTATTCGTTTAGAGCACGGTGGAAACTCTTGATTTGTCTTCCGCCCTTTTAGTTTGGATGCAAGTTTGAAAAGATGAGATTAAAAGTCAACCATGAAATTAAATGATGTATTCATTGCTTGTAATTAGCAAAATAGTGGACATAGAGATTTGAATAATGAAATTTAAATAGCAAGAGCCTATTTGGCCCATTCCGATAATGTTTTGTCATTGTTTTTGGGAAATGCTAAATACAGCCCTATTTTTACTAAGTGCAGCCTCTTTTTTTAAATATGTTTTAAACAAACTCATTAAGTTTACAAACTTACCCTTCCCGACACTATTTTCTTTTCTACTGCTAAAAGACCCAAATGTATCTATACTCGGTATATGAGCATGTCGTAATAATATAACTTCCATGGCTGGGACAGAATCAACTCCTTAAACGAGACTATGCTCTTAGTTGCTCCCTGGAGCCGTAGTTGGAGACTTGGAGTATTCCAGACGGATGATTGTTATATGTGTTTGGAAACCCTTCACAGTTCACACCTTCTTTGACTATACACCCCAGGGGGGATTTCCAATTGGTGTACATTGCAATTCCTAAACATTGGGCAATGGAAAAATCTAATTTGAGTTTTAAAAAATCAAAACAAACAATTGCCAATCCAATAATTCAGACGAAGAACAAAAGACTTCTACTGATGGATTAGATTTAGTAATAGATCAAACAGAATTTCAGTTACCCGCAACAGCTCCGGCGAAGTGGGGGGAAGAGTTGTACAATTGCGCTAGAGGCCAACCAGATGGCGAGGCTGTGGGAATGGCTATGCTTTCGAACTGGAAGTAGTGCTGGCGCTGCCTGAGTCTCGAGAAGTTACCGATCAGAGCACCTTCGGAAGCAAGATGTTGATGAGCAAAAGGGTTGCGGGCATAAGGGATACAACAGACATTCTATTTATATTTAATTAATTAATTTTATTTAGAAGCTGTAAATAGCAATTGTGTGGCTGCATTTTGAATTACCCTTGTTTTTACTTCTAACGATTGAGTTCTTAAACGCGATATTGATTTGAGTTGTGTTTGTTGAGATCATCATTTTCATTTACCTCGGTGCCGCAAAGGCTTCCATCTACGGTGGAGTAAGGGGGGGTCGGATGTTCGCAGTCTTTACCCCTGTACTAAAGCACAGAGAGACTGTTTCCGGATGATCCATAGTGAAAATCGCGTCCAAAATTGCATGGACGGACTGCTGCTTCATAACAAAGAAGCGCAGACAGTTTAATGAGTCATTTTGCTTTATTCCATCATATTCTCAAGCCAAAAAATAATATATCTTTGGCTCAATTGCAAATGATGAAAATTGTGTTGATATTTGATATAATTTTGATTACTATGAAATTTATGAGGTTTTAAACTTTCTAAAATTCAAGTTAACAATATAAACACTTCTGTTTAGAGCTATATAATTTATACTTTGTTCTCTTGGTTGAATTTCTTGTAATCTCATTATATCCAAGATCAGAATATAAACACGAGGGAGAATTTTACTTTTAGGAGTTTTAGCCGCTCATTAATATTGCATTTTGAAATGTTATACCTAGCTTTTAATATAATATAATATAATATAATATAATATAATATAATATAATATAATATAATATAATATAATATAATATAATATAATATAATATAATATAATATAATATAATATAATATAATATAATATAATATAATATAATATAATATAATATAATATAATATAATATAATATAATATAATATAATATAATATAATATAATATAATATAATATAATATAATATAATATAATATAATATAATATAATATAATATAATATAATATAATATAATATAATATAATATAATATAATATAATATAATATAATATAATATAATATAATACTATATGAGTCTAGAGTTTTCACAAGAAAAATGAATTTTATTTTATTCGCACCCTGTATTATATATTGTCGTACTATCCACTACAGTCTACATATACGTATATTAGGTGTATATTAATAGGGTCGACGGTCCTGAAAATTCATAGACTTGGGATAAATTAAAATAAACAGGGTCCTAGTATGTTGTGAAATTGTACTCCGTATAACAAAAGTTTTAGAAATAAAATTCGGAAACAACTTAACAATTAAAACTGGATACAAATTCCCAACTTCAATTATATACAGCATCGGATATTCAAACGACGCAAAAAGAATATTTCGGGTGGAAGAAGATCCGATTAGATTGGATTGCGGGCAGGGCAAGAAGATCACAGATGGGTCTATATGCTGCCCCATCATTAGCTTATTCACAACCACAACCAAACAATCAAATAATAAAATTCCCCAGAAAACAAAACACAAAAAAATGTCACCAAACGAACATGAATCTCAATAGGCGACAAAGTCACCATCTTTCGGTCAAAATATTTTTGTATGCCAAATACGCTTACAATTATTACTTATTAGGTACCTACCAATTCAAATATTTCTAATTATTTATTGTCAAACTTTATTTTTATAATATATTTCTAGATCATGTCAGTATATTATCATTACATTTTCGTTTTTGCCCACCCTAGAATTAATTATTATCCATTTTTTATGGTCTAGACATATCTCGATATTAATCGTTGTAATATTCCATTTCTAGTACACGTTTCGTGTTCTAGACTACCCGTAACCATACCCCGTCAATAAATTAAGTTTCCAATCAGTTTATACGCAAAAAATGTATTCACTCAATCAATCTAATTTTTCTTTACAATCCAGAATCGTCAATATATTCACTCAACACAGTTTTTCTTAATTAAATTCCTAAATCTTTACTTTTATGATTATACATCATTTTTTTTTTTGAAAAAAAAGTAGGAATACTTATTATTTAAAAAGCCAAACATTCTAATTTAAAAATAAATATATTTGGATTTTATTTTTTTCGTATGTGTAAAATAATGCACACTTGTGCTACTATACATGTAATTTAAAATAAAATCTAACTTTTTTTGGGAGATAGTAAAATCTAACCAACAATTACAATATGTTATACTATACATAGTATAATATTACTTTATTTACAACATTATTAATTTTTTAGATACTTTAATACTCCGTATGTACTTCCTCCGTTTGTTAAATAAGTGCAATAGTCAACATTTCACATTTGTCGAGGCACAACTTTGACTATTAATAAATATAACTCTCTATTAGTAAAAAAAATTAAGAAAAATCAGATTTTGAGAATTTACAATGAGACAAATTTGGTAATAATTTTTTCAAAAATATATATTAATACATCAATAAATAAAATGTAATCAAAGTAGAACATGTGAATAGTGTAAAATTTGGTATGTTGCACTTATTTAAGACGGAGATAGTACTATATATTGGTTCCAATTAATCACAACCATTCATCTACCAACTAAATAAATGTTTTGGGAATGTCAAATAGCTACAGAGCACAATACCGATACTTTTGCTTCTCTCCTGAGAGCATCCACATTCATGCTCCTCGTTTTTACGGTTTTTTATGGCTTGATATTGCCATGTCACTTCTACATAAGAAAATCTCAAATAATTTTCAAACCAAATAATCTTTCCTCAACCATGATCTCAATTCACCTAGATTTTCTATGAGACATACACTCAATTTCAAAATATCTACATTAAATGCACTCACACACTATTAAAAAAGTGTATTAAATTACTACACATACTATATTATTGTTACGTATGCTATATTGCTATATGTGTGTGTATGTGTTGTATATTACTACGTAAATTATATTTATGTATATATGTACTTGAAATTTTTAGTTTATATAGTACATGTGACTGGGTCACCAAAATCTACGTAGACTTTATTTTAAATAGTATATTCATGTACAAAACTTATATCTACATTACTACATACCCTTTATTTTATACTACCGGAAGTGCATGCAGAATTTTTATGTACCATGTGTGCACTTTAACAGAGAATAGCCGCATGCACTTCTGCCAAAAAAATAGCCGCGTGCAGTTTTGGAATTAGCCGGGCTTCACCTTAATTACGAGTGTCTACAAAATTGGAGAGGAGCCTAGAAGTTGGAAATAATCTCAAAATAATCCAGTTTTAAAATTTGATATCAGATTATTTTATCAAATAATCTTATAAAATAATCTCAACTTCTCATCCATGATCTCAAAAACAATCCTCCACATCATCAAAGTTCTGGCAGCATGTTCCACAATTAATTACTACATATTTGAGTGGAGTGAATACACGGTTGGTTATTCCCCACCCAAGGTTTCACCAATCCATTATCCCCTCCTCAAATACAAAGGTTGTATGGAATTTTAGGGTGAATAGATCAAATCTAACATATCCACCGGTGGATTGCAAATGGTCTAAATCTCAATAGGCCTATCAACGAATCCACAAATTAGTGGAACGAACAATGAAAAAGTCCAAGCAATCTTTTGAGTATTCTAGAGTGCACAAAAAACAATAAAATCCCCCACAACTGATAGTGTGAAAACCCAACTTTCAAACTGTAGGACTATTTAAGAAAATTCCAAACTTCCGTAATCATTATTTTTGTTGGAATATATTCTCAAATATGATAATCCTGCCGTCTTATTTAATACCAATATCTATTTTGAAAATAAGCATTTTTATTTCTTCATTTCTTAATTTGTTAAAAAATAAGGTGAAAAGGATCACTCCTGACGTTTTTCTTGACTAATAATAACATTTTCAAACTTCATGGGACCAAAACTAAGGAATTATACTCGTAGAGGGGGAAGTAAATATGGTTTAAATGTAAAATTGTCAATAATTTTATGGTTTTAACGTAGATACGCTCTTTTCAAAAAAAAAATGTAGATACGCTTCACATAAATATACTAGGTAATTGACATCAGCTAAATATATAGGGAGTGTAAATGAATCTATACATATGTGATAAATAATCCGGGGTATAATGTACCAAACCTCATGAAAATATAAATACAATGCATTATGTCTTGTGATTTAAAAAATGCGTCAAACCTTCTGTGGTATATTTATTCGTGCGCAAGACCTCTTCTATGCACAAATTAATTTGCCAAATAAAAGAAAAATGATTAATATTTTATAAAATTTAGAAATCTTGACAAAATTACTTGTATAATATTTTGTATAATCATATTATAAGACAACATATTTGAAAATTGTATAATTTATTCTTGGAAGAAGTTTTGCACATAGATAATTATAACACAGGAATGTGTGACACATTTTTAAATCACAATTTACTAATACGCTGAATTTATATATCATGAGGAGGTTTGGTGCATTAAACTCTATTAATCCCACAAAAGTATCATAAAAACATACTCCCTACAAATTAAAGAATAAACACCCGTTTGATACAATTACACTAAGGGGAGGGGAAGAGAAAGATTTAAATATTAACCATAAAAAGGAAAGTGTTTTTTTGTTTGATAGTTCTAAATTTGGAAAGCGAGGGGACACAAGAATTAGAATGATTACAATCTTTTAGGATATATTGAATTCAAATAGCTGTTGGACACGACAATTTCAATTAAAATTGTTTAGAATATATATTAAATTCAAATAGTTAAACTTGTACTCATTTTAATTTAAACTAAAATTATCATTTAATTTGGAAAAAATGGCCTAAATATGACATTCGGACTTTTGCTTTCTAAAATTATGAGCATATTCCAATTTCCCAAAAATATGACAGGCTATACTTTCTCTCTCAGAACACGCGTTTCTCTCTTCACGACTTTGACGTTTCTCCTCTTCACAGCAATGGCCCTTCAATCTCTGCACGAACATGGCGTAGCTTCCCCTTCGCCGCCATAAGCCACCGGGCCTCCAGATTCGCTCCCTCTCCGTGATTCCATCTTCTCCGTCGAGAAAAAAATTATATCT